TTACTATATATAGTTAGTAGTTTAACTTTTTATGTTAGTTTGTATCATCTTTGTGCATATGATCACCAAACTAATTTCCTCGCAATGTCTAGAAAAGGAAATTTGCATTTTGTATTTTTTAATATTAGATACAAGTACAAGTACTTGTATATGAACTTGTACATGTATATATACTTGTACAAGTACTTGTACATATACTTCTATACAAAAAACAAAATATACGATTCTTATTAAAGGGTAAAATATTAAAAAAAAAAAAAAATTTAACAAAATCGAAAGTATACTTAACTTATACTAGAATATATTATTTTATCACTTTTTATAATTTCTTTGCACTATAATCTTATGTTACTTTGAGAGTTATTTTTTGTTTTTTGTTTTCTTTTGTCAAATTTCTTGCCGGTATGATGAATTGATAATCAATAATCGTTGAAGGCTGTAGTGAAAGAATTTAAAGACTCTATGATCGTTTCTAAATTTATATAAGTTATTATCCATGACTATAAATCTTGATTAAAACCTGGGTTTACAATGTGATGAGATCGATATATTTAATATTTAAAACAATATCAAGCGAAGCGAGGCAGAACATAATAAATGTAAAACTGAGCTTAAATTGAAACCGAAAGTTATTACATTGGTTATTTTCAAAACTAGCTTTATGTATATATTTCCGTATATAAAGTTCTAGTATCTATAATTAAATTGTATTTATATTATTAAAACTTTAAGTTAGCAATTAATGATTATTAAAATATGGTAAAAAAATGTAGAGTTTAAAACCTGCTAAGCAAAATATTATTGATTATTGAAATATGGTAAAAAACCGTAGAGCTTAAAACCTGTCAAGCAAAACATTAATGATTGTTGAAATATGGTAAAAAAACTATAAAGCTTAAAACCTGCTGAGCAAAACATTAATGATTGTTAAAATTATGTAGAGTTTAAAACCTGCCAAGTGAAGTGAGCCAAAATATAAAAAAATTTAAAGCTTGAGCAAAGCCAGGAACTATGAAAAGAACAAACAAAATACTACCTTAATATATAGTTTTTGATTTCACAATTAATCATGTATTAATTGTTAATGTCTGTTAATACCATATACTGTTATATCTAATTATTAGTTGGTGGTGAAGCCACCACATAATTATGTACTAGTTTTACATGTAAAAATATATACCAATCATTGCTAAAATCAATAATTTAATCAAATTGGCCAAAAAATAATTTGGCTAATTTTTATCAGATACCCAGAATTTATGAAAACAGCTATAATAGATATTATATAGACCATCTGGGTAACAATAACTATGATCCAAGTATTCAAACTCAGACTAGTCTGCAGACTTTAGACCAGACCCAGACCAGATTCAGACTTTACTAAAAAGTTTAAGTCTAAAAGTCTGAGTTCGGTCTGAAAATCAGACCAAACTCAAACTTGACTAAAGTCTGGTTTAAGTCTAGTCTGTAGAAGTACTATAGATGACATAATTGCTTATTTATTATAAATATGATTTGTCTTTGTGCAGTAATTTTAAAGTAACTTTCTTGATATGTCAAATAGAACTTTAACAATTAATAATTCTGAAGCACTTCAATTTTTAAACCTTTTCTATGCTACAAATACAGAAAAAAATATATCTAAATGGCTTTGCCATGTTGATCAGTTTAGAAAGGAAAAAATATCGTAAAAATATTAAATGAATTTGTAATAAAGTCTTAGCATTAATGCTAATACTATTGAACCAAAATCAAGGATCTTTTAATTATACTACTATAATATCTGCTAATATAATTTTAATTAGTTTTATTTACATTATTTTAATTCATCTATTAACTATACTTAATAAGTTTTTTTAATCCAGATTAGTGATAATACCTGGATCAGATATTATCCGGATTATCTGAAGATAATCGAATATCTGAGTTGTATACTCAGCTACCTGGGTAAACCTACTCAGATAATATCCAAGTAGATATACCCAGATAATATCTGGATAAATAAGTATAGAGTGCTTTATTGCTATTTTCATAATTTCAAGAATATCTGATAAAAATTGACCGAATGATACTCTAGCCGATTTGATTAAGTTTGTAATTTTGGAATAATAGATTCAATAAAAATACAAAATTGTATGTATGCACATAGGTATATACATATGTAACTTTTACATTAGCAATTAAACAGTGCAAAAGTTTTACTAGCACTACTAGACTTTATATGTTAGCTTTACGAAGTTTTGGCCAATACTATTTATATACAAATATTATATGTCAGAAACTTATATATAAAATTACACAAATTTCTACCTCGTATATAAAAGCTATAATACTAGTTCTGCAGATAATTTTAAATACCAACACATTTAATATTATTAAATTTTTATTTGAATACTTGCCCAATAGCTTAGTTTGTGTGAAAACATATATATATAATCAAATTACAATGTATATATATATAATATAATTTAGATCATATTTATCATGCCGAAATCAATGACTTAATCAAAATGGCTGAAAAATCATTCGGTTAATTTTTATCTGGTATTCTAGAAATTTTGAAAATAGCAGTAAATATTTAATTATTATAGTAATAATCGTTACAGTAATTAGTTTCATATAAAATGATATCTTGCAAATAATCTATATAACAGGATGATCTACAAAAATTAGCCAATCAGAATGAAAGCCCACTATGTTTACTCAAATACATCGGGTAGGATTTTATATCTAGATATATTTATCGATCACCCAGGTAACTTGCCAGATATATCTGTCAGATATCCGAATAGCATTTTTTGATCAGGTATTATCACTAACCCAGATAAGGTTTCTATTACAAAAATCATATGATTCTGAATTTGAACTTTTTACTAAGAAAGCTCAATTTTATTCTTAAAACCAACAAATACCTCAAAATTAACAAACGCCTAGTATCAGAATCAACAAATATCTATATTTTAGAACCATCAAATGAAAAGAAACAAACAATGCTAGTAGAAAACATTTATAATAATTAAGTAATCAAATACTGTAAAGAAAAAGATAAAGTAGCAGCATTGCTTATTGCAAATAACAAAGACTGTAAAGTATAATAGCAAATTACAAATAATGTGATTATTCAATTTCCTGACATTAGCAAACCGATTGACCTCAATTTGAAGATTTCTTTCAATAATTAGCCAAAATGTATTATTTTATTTTTCAATAATAAAATATGTAATTAATATAATTGCTTAGTCAATTATTAAATTGCGTTTCGCTCAGCTAATTACAATTTAAAATTATATTAATTATAATTTAAAAAGTATACTGATTATAATTTAAAAAGTACACTAATTATAATTTAAAAAATACACTAATTACAATTTAAAAAATATATTAATTACTGTTTAAAAGTATTCACACAGGTCTATATAAAAATCATGTGAATTTGAAAATCACATGATTTTTATATAAACCCGTGTGAATAAATGCTCAAAAAAAGCACAGATTGTTATATAAGACCTGTACAATAATTCATAATATATGTATATATTGTATATATTTAGGCCAGATAAGGTTTCGGTCTGAAGTAATAGATATAATATAAGTTAATTAACCAACTTTGGTTAGGAACTAATTCAATAAATAAAAATAACAATTTCTACTTGTATCCCATCTTAAATTATATATAATAATAAGTCTTGTGATACAGATAAATTTTATATATAGAATTATTCTAATATATATTAAATGAATATCTTTGTTATATGGTAAATTATATATCGATTCTGATTTATTTTTACTAAATGTTAATTATTTGAGAATTATTGTTATTATATTTACACAACTTATATATTCTATCTACTACTTTTTTACATGTTTTGCAATATAGGTGTGAATGATAATTGCATTTGTTACAAACTTACATCCTCTAAAAATATACCACTTTTCGGTGTAATTTAACATTTTTTATTTGTATAAAATGAGTGTGAGTATTATGGTAAAGCTAATACTGCATACTAGTAAAAGTATAACAGAGTTTCGATTTTTGTTTTTTTTTAAAAAAATATATATAAATTCTAACTTGCTTTACAATAATTTTATAAAAAAATTGTGTTTTATATAAATTATGTTGATGTTACTTAAAGGACTACAATTTTGACTTATATGAGGGTAAAATAGCGAATAATATACAAATTGATTACTATCGAGTATAAAATTTTTAAAGTTATAAACAAACTAATTTTCGTTGATTACAGTCTATTTTTTCTATTTATACTATATGTATATTAATTTAGATAGCTTTTTGTTAATCGATCTTTATATTCAAATAGTATCAAAATTATAAAGTATTTAAAAAAATAGTATTTTTGACAATTTTACTTAATAGATAAAATTCGATTTGCTTAATAAAAAATTTTGTTTTCTTGTAATATACACAAATTGCTATTTTACTCACATTTGCTATAATATCTACACTCACCTTATATATTATTCAGATTTTTTATCATTGTATATATTATATATAAAAAAATAATATATGTGGCTAAAATTTTTTATACAAACCTGCTATAGTACCCTGTTTTACAAACAAATTATATAAATAATAATGAGAAGATTGTGATTATTTGATAAGAGATTTTTTAGTAAAGGCTATGTATCAAAATTTTAATTTATTTACCCAAAAATGGGCTATACCGACGATATTAAAAAAAAGATAAAGAATTTATTATATAGGCATATAGAATATAAATTGAGTTTACAATATCACATGATAGTGGTACAGTAAATATTTATTTTGCAAATTTAACTAATATTTGATCAATTTCATCCTGACTTAATTTTGATATTGATGATACTATAAAAAATTTAACTCTTCAAATCTTTTTAATGCCAATTTTACTAAACAGATCATAAATCTTCAAAGCTTATTCTTTTTTCTTTTGAAGTAAGTTATCACTAACAGAGTTTGGAAGTTGTGATCTAACTTCTTTATTAACTAAAGCCTGAGCTATTCACTTAGGATTACTTTTTTTATAGTAATTATATCTATTCTCAAGTGCTTTACTGAAAAGATAATAGCTAGTTATAACTTTCCAATTTATAATTTCATTTTGAGTTTCTGCATAGATTATATTATTGTACAAATTGTTAAAATTAATAGCATTTTCTTTTCTAATTACAAAATCTTGCGGAGCTTTAGGTTTGGTAGATAATTCTTTTATAAGATCTTTTAATATATACAATTCTTTCTTAGCCTGCTTTCGTTTCTTACTTAATATTTTATCTAAAAATAATTTGGGATCATAATTATGCTTTTTTAATATATTACTCTAGGTAAATATAGGGCTTTTAAATATTATAGAAAATATTTTCATTAAATCGATGTTTTGATTTCCAGGTATGCTAATATTCATAAATTTTATCTCTTTATTACAATTGGGTCTTGGACATATTGAATTAATTTTTATAGAACTTTTGATACAATTACAATGATATAGATAGCCACAAATAAGTAAAGTAATTAACTTTTTATTTTATATAAAAAAAGTTCTTGGTTGTATAAAGAATATAGATTTAGTTCAAGTATATTAATGTTATTTGCAATTTTTTCTGGAGATGAATTTTTAAGAATATTTAATGCAAATGTTTTGAAACATGAAATATTTTGAGATATTGGGTTAGTAGCCATATTCAAATTTTTTATAATTGAAGAGTTAGTATATATATTAATGGTTATAGACAGATAAATATTTATAATTAATTATATACTTAGCTTTTATATATAGTATTTATACTTTCATAACTAACAAAACTAATTTCAGATTTGGTGATTTGTTTACTGAATTTGAAGTATATTTAACAATAGTGCTTAAAAGAAAATCTGATGATTACCAGTTATGGTTTTATATCAAATTAATATGCTATAATAAAGTTAAAGTTATTACTGAGAAATATACTATTTATTGCTAAGATCATACAAGATCTAGAAGATCGTATATATTTTTTGTATAACTATATATTATTTTAAACCCCAATTCATACCTTATACAAATCTACCAATAACCTATAATAGAATTTTATCATGTAGAATGAATGATGCTATAGTGTTTGTTTTATTTCATAGGATCAGATCTGTAAATTGCTGGTGTAATTTCTATTCTTGTTCTATTCTAATATCAAAGATATCAGATTGACTTGTATAATACTAATTTAAAGATTCATAATAGATATAATATACCAGAATGTTCTGAAAAAAAGTTGGCAGATTAATTATTCATTGATCTATTCAGGATTCCAAACAATCTATAAACAGATAAAATTTTAGTTTGCTTATTTCAGACTATTTTTTTGTTGATTTTTTCTATCTATAATAATTAGTTTGCTTATTTTAGGCTTTTTTTCTTGCAAATCTTTCTATTTTTAGTAATTTTTACAAATTGTTAGCTGTTTGTAAATTGTTTGGAGTCCTATCTATTCTTCATAGATTTGCAAAAATATATAACCCACTATATAATACAAGATATAGTTAAATCTTCTAAGTTATCTTAAAATTTTAAATTTATTAGTATTTAAATAATACTGATCTTGAGTATATTTTACAAATACTTCATCAGGTTGATAGAGCTATTTAATTACTGTATACTAGATTATTTTAGCCAAATTTATTTATTTTTTCCATAAACAATATGCTTGTTAGATAATAAACTAATTAATTTTTTTTATACAAAGTTACAAAATATATTACTTGAATTTTAAATTCTTTAAATTTAGAGTGATTAGCTATGAATTCATTTCTAGTTAGATTATTTTTAATATAAAATATAAAGTTTTCCCAATAGTCCTTACTAATAATATTATATTCTAGTATTAATAAATATTTATGTATATATTTGGATAGATCATACTTTGCAAATCATAACCAAGCTTCTAGTATTTTAAAATTATTAATATAGTTTAAACTATATTTAGTTAATATGTATTAGGTATAATTATTTTTTGTCTATTCTTTAACAATATCATGAATATTAGACATATTTATATTTTAAACATATGGATTTTATTAACTAAAACTTTTTATTTAATAAGTATGAGTCAAGATTACTAGATTTTTGATAGCAATTATAGGTGATTTTTAATTTATAGATAAGTGTGATTAGTAAGTTGGTTTGCATATATTACTTTACTTAAAAAATAATTAATAAGTCTAATTATTGTAAAGCAGGTCTGAAAGGACGAAGCTAAATTATAGAATAAATAGATAAGTTATGAATTAATCTAGATACTCCTATATAAGTTATAGATATCTTTAATTTTAGAAGTATTCTCATTAATTGGCTTGGATGTGGGAGCTAAGATTTTGGGTTTAGACTCTGGATCTGAGTCAAGGTCAGAATCTGAAGTATCACTCTTAGCATAATATTTTTCAGAATCAAAATAGTCTATCTTATACCTTATTGCAACTTTGCTAAGGAATTCGAGATATTGTGAAATTAGATTTTAACTATTATGAACTTTAGAAACATATTTACCTCTGATTTTTCTTAATATTTTGGCTATAAATCATATGATTTTAAGAATTTACTAAATACTCCTGTATTATATTTTCTACTAATACTATAAACAGAATTGCATAACTTTCTGGTTGCTATTGCATCTTGGATCCAGGTAAGCAATTTTTTTGCATATTCTAAATTCCTTTTCATAGATAGAAATTGTCAAGATTCAGAATTATTTTTTGCTTCTTCTTTATTTTTAATATACCTGATACAATACTAAGAATAACTAGGCTTGTACTATTCAGGAGGATTTGATTCATCAGGTTCTTAATAGATAATATAAAAAGTAGCAACTTCAATGAGTCTTATACTCAATATCATAATTATATCTGCAAGATCTTGTATAGTAAAGATTTTAGTAGTATTGATATTTTGAATTCTTCTAAGTCCTTTCTCTAAGAAAAGTGTTTGGAAGTTTTAGATAGATTGGATAATCGCTATTCGAGTTGCTTTTTTCGAATTTCGTTAGAAGCTCGAGTAACTTCTGGTAATTTGGCATATATATCATTTGTTTGAAACCAACTTCAACTTCTGCTAAGGGTAGTGTTATTTATCACCTGATTATTTTTTATCAGAGGCTTACCCCCTCCCCCCCTCTTAATATAAAAAAAAATCAGATTCTTATATATAATTTTAACTTTTTTACCCCCTCTCTCCTTCTAAAAGATTATCTGATTTTTGTTATATCCTTAACTCTCTACAAAATTATAAAATACAAGAACTGGCTACTACAATTGCTTTATCTGTATTATTTTTTGGTATAGCTAAGTTTAAAGTATATAACCAAATATCTTATATATCTTTAATTTTTGTACAATATTAAGCTCTTTCCTTGATAGTAAGCTTTTTCTTTTTGTTGTTTGGAACTAGAGCTTCTATTTGATTTTTTTTGAATAAGCGCTGATAGAGAACCTTTTTCATATCTTTACAAGCTTTTCAATCTAGTAGCATAGTACCAAGTTTATTAGCATGAGCATGTAATTGAAGCAGGTTTAATTTGGCTAATAGATTATATTTATTGAAGATTTGATCCAAAATGGAGATAAAGCTATTAGTTTTGGGTTTTCTAGGTTTTAAACAGTTGCTATAATAGATATATAAATAATATATCAATAAGTAGATTGTGATTATAAACTAATTTACTTATTTTTTTAAATTAAAATTAATTATCTCAGGTCAATATATTTATGTCCAAAATTGAATAGGTTATGATTATTGTAATTTTGTTGGAAAATAGATACGAACAAGTCATAAATTTGGTCAAAAGTATTGAAATCCATAGCTTTATATAATAAAATTACTAAAAATATCAATATAATCAAAAAGGATATAGATACATAAATGCTATTTTTCTAAAATAAGAAGTTTTAGAAAAAATAATCAATATATACATATACCAGATATATAATTATATTTCATGCATAGAATTGGGTAAGTTAAATAAGTTAGGTATATGATTCTCAAGTATAACAATTTTTGCATATAATTCAGTCTGTTTTTTTTTGATGATAATATTCTCTTTTTTGATACTTACTCGTATGATTCGAGCATATACTATATGTAGAATATATTAATTTATCACATTCTTTGCAAAGAATCTATATTGATGAATTTCAATGAAGTTTATACCCTTCTGGTCAATAGCAACCTCGATTGTAAACTTTGCTAGTTCTAAGAATATAAGATAATGATAGAGTTCTATATTTATTATAATAATAATTGTATAGAATAATTAATTTTATTTTAAAATTTTTCAGATTAAGTATAATACTTTTAGTTTATAACTATACATTATATATATAAACAATATATATATACAAATCAATAAAATAAGTTTATCTAGTGAAACAAAAAAACATCTTTGTAAATTATTACAATAATAGTATTTAAATCAAAAGTTAGCCAAATATAATAAAGCAAAAAGGTTCTTTATAGGTTTAACAAATCTTGATTATAAATCTGGCTATAAAAAATATATATTTTATAAATACTGACTTGTATCTAATGGTCATATCAGCTCTTCTGATAGAAACAATATAGTAGTTTTAGAGACATATCAATCTGAAGAGATCCATTCTCAATATATTATTTGAGTAGCAGGAAAAGATTATATAGTGATTAATTATTCTAGTAAAGTTTATGAAATACTTGATATTTATGAATATATTAATTGTAATAATCTCTTTGCTTGATAATTAATATTAATACAAAGCAAAAGCCTGATCCAGATAATCTTAAATTTCCTTCTTTAAATAGTAAAAAAATTACTTGTGAAGATTTGATATTTTGAATTTTAGTTGCTTGCACAGATATATTATATTCTATATTGGGTTGTATAGTATCATTAAATATTATATTTCTCCAAAAATATGCACTCCCTGAAAATAAGCACCCCTGGTCCACACTATGCCAACTTTGGCCTGCTTTATAACAATCATAGCCAGTATTAAGTGCAAAAAAAGAGTATTTATTTTCAGAAGAATACAGTAACTTTGCTTTGACAAGTTCATTAAATATAAATAAATATAATTAGTATATTATTTATCTCTATATTCAATTTATTGATTATTGTGACTTTAAAGGTTTTGTAGAAAAAATCATTGAATAGGTTGAAAAACCTTATTTCAAATTTATTGATATTAGACTTTACAAAACCTATTTTAATCTTTGGCTTCTTGAATTTGCAAAAAAAGAACATATCAAAAGACTAGCTATTTTTTCTGTTAAGAATAGATTTAAAAATCTAGAAGATTATTTGGTTCAACCAAAATCAGATTATTCAGAAATCTGGCCATGAACTTTTTTTTTTAAGAAGCTAGTAAAAGAAGAATCCTAATCTATCGACAATAAAAATACCTTGGTTAAAAAGGCTAATATAGTTATTAAAAAATATGG